AATACGATGTCATCGGCAAATGCCAAGCATGAAATTTTAGTGTAGATTTCTTGGCGCTCAGTTGTTACGGTGGAAAGACGTAGCCCTGGTCCTTCTCTATTTACTTGTTCTAGTAGGCTGTTAATGTAAATATTGAATAATGTTGGCGATAGTGGGCACCCTTGTTTAAGTCCAATATTTTGTTGCACCTGTCTAGATTTATATTTGCCCAGTTCATACACTGCCGTACACTCTGCATATAGTGCTTTTAGTAATTTGATGAAGTCTTCCTCAATATTAATTTTTTCTAGCTTCTCCCACAGTCGTGAGTGCGGCACTGAGTCATATGCTTGTTGTAGATCCAGGTATGCCAGGTATAGTTGAGATTTGTCTCTGTTTTTCATTTCTATTGCCTGGGTTAGGGTAAAGATATGGTCACTTGTCCGTCTGTTTGGGCGAAATCCATTTTGCGATTCTGACAAGATTAAGGTTTTTTCACAGTGGTTTTGTAGCCTGCGATTCAGGATTGTATTGAAGAGTTTCAGAATGCTACTCAGTATTGTTATGGGGCGATACGCCCCAATGTCACTTGTTTCCTTTCCCTTTCCCTTGTGAATCAGCTTTACCCGGCTTTCTTTCCAAGTTCTTGGTATTTTTCTGCTTGCCAGAATGTCGTTGAGGCAGCCGCGTAGCATTTCCTTTGCCTCTGTTTTGAATGCTTTCAGGAATTCGTTGGGTATATCATCGAGTCCTGTTGCTTTCTGGTTTTTTAGATCATTTATGCGTCTCTTTAGTTCTAGTTTAGAAATTGGTCCAGTCAGCTTTTCTTCTTCAGGTGTGCTGGTCTTGTCCTTTTTTCTACTGCTGATCTGGGGTGGTGGATCTACTGGATTGGTTTGCATATTTTTAAAATGTTTAGTTATGTGCTGTTCAATTTCTTCTTTGGTATGTAGAGGAATGCTATTTTCAGTAAGTAGTATGAGTGGATCTTCCTGAAGGGTGTCCTTTGGTTCCAGTGTCCTTATGTATGCCCAAAACTTCTGACTGTAATGGTTACGATCCTTATGCAGGTTTTCTTCTTCTTTTTGGAATTTCTGGTCTATCTTTTTTGCGGCCATTTCCTTTACTTTTCTTTTTTGGGCCAGGTATTCCTTCCAAATTACCTCTTTTTTCTGTCGACTCATTGGGCGTATGACGGTGCCTTCTGGATAATTCTTTGCGAATGCGAATTTCTGTCTTCAGTTCTCCATCAAACCAAGGTGTGTTTCTGGTCCTTTTTTTTTCACTAGTTTTCCCAATGGTTTCTTGTGCTACTGACAGGCATTTTTCTGCGAATTCCTCGTATGTTAGAGGTTCTGTTAATGTTGACTCGAGTTTATTGGAAAATTCATCCAGGCGCTCTTGCTCTTTCACTCGCCAGTGAGCTTTTGTAGTTTCAGGCCGGTTTACTCGATGGGGTTGATGGCGTCTGAGGCACAGTTTCATTCGGTTGTGGTCACTTCCACAGCTGTTTGTTTTGTCTTCGTCTATGTACAGAGCTGTGATGTTTATATCTTGCCTTACTACCTCTTGATTGTAAAGTATGTAGTCTATAGCAGATTTGTTAGCTCTGCGTGACCATGTGTAGGTGCCTTCACAAGCTGGATGGAGGTTTGCTATTTGTAGGTTGCATTGTTTAATTAATTTTCGGAAGCCAGCAGCATCTTTTTCGTGACCATCCAATTCTACTATGTGGCAGTTGAAATCTCCCATCAGTAGTACCGGTTGGCCTTTGTAGGTTTCTTCAATGTCTTTCTTGAGGCATGCGTAAATGCTGTCATTCCACTTTTGTTCCTCGAGGCCTGTTGCCATGTATATGACACAAATGTACAGGTCACGTGTGTCAATCTTTATTTTATCCACATGTGTTCCTTGTCCTGGCAGTCCCCATTTACCGTGCTTCTCTTCGGTGTAATAAAACCAATGCCTCCACCCCGTTTTTGTCCTTTACTTCTGTTCTTTCCTTGCCATACTAGCCCCGGGAGCAGAGGTTGTTCGTCGTCCCGCAGGTGAGTTTCCGTTAGAGCGTAGATATCTATTTTTTGTCTGTTCACTTGGTCTTGGAGTTCAGCCCACTTGAGTTTGTTTGTTCCTTGCATGTTTAGTAGGCATATGGTGAGTTCTTTTTTCACTTCACTCTGCTTTGTTCTTCTGTTTCTTCTTTTTCTGGAAAGTGATTGACAATGATCTCTGGAGGACTGAAATTGGGGGGGGGTTGTGCGTATGGTTTTGCCTGCTTGGTTGCTTACCAGTGCCGGTTTCTCTGTCCTAGTTTGCCTAGGGCTGTTGTCATTGCTTTCAGTAGCGTTTGCACTGTCCTTTGATCTGGTCTTGTTGATCGTCTCCAGTGTTGTGGGCGCGTTGGTTGTTTGTCCCATAAAAAAGATTTAATGGCCTCACCTAGTTGGCTGCCAACCTGGTCCGCTGCCTGTTCCGAGTAGTGGATATCATCCAGGTGATCTGCGGTTAGCTGGGCGGCTGCTGACATAAACCGCACACTGGGGCCCAAGGCTGTACACGCCGTTTGAACTGCCGTGTTCCATGTTTGGCATGCTGTAGCAAATTGTTGACCCCTTGCTTTCGGTTCAGGGATGGCACTGACTATGTAGTGGTGTTTGGGTGTCTTTTGGCTCCAGTAAGTCAGTTGTTGCTTCAGGTGGTCAGTGGTCTTTTTAATGTCTGCTTTATTTAAAAGATCAGTAGTACCTACATGTATTATTAGTTGCAGCTCTGTGTTGGTGGCATTTGCCTTCTGAATTTCTCCTTCAGCTCGGTGAAGTGTTTCTTCAAGATTGGCACCAGATTTTGTAGTGATGCGTAGTCTTTGATCATGTATAGCTTTACGGAGGTGCTTTTTCAATCGATGGGCATTGGAGTCGCCTAGGACTACAGTGCGTTTGCTTTGTGGTGGATGGTCATTTGACTGCATTTGAGGATAGGGATGTTTCTGTTTATGGTCAGCGCTGAGCTGCTGCTGTTTCTGGCTGGTGTTCTCTGTTTTCAAGGGTCGGCCTTTTTTGCCCACCTGTGTCCCAGGATTGCCTTCCTCTGCTAGCTCAACTGTGTGCTCAATGTCTTCACTTATCCTGCTTGTGCCCTGTGATGGAATGTCTTCCTTCCACTGGCTGCGAAATTGCTTGTCTGAGGGGTGTTTTGGCTCTGGTGTCCCGGAGTCGTGTCGAGGAGTTGAGGTAGCCTGGTCTCCGTTTTCTTGGGCGTCCTGAGTACTGTTTGTCTGTTCGAGTTTTTTTATTTGGGTTTGGAGGGTACCAATCTCTTCCTCGAGTTTTTCACGCAAGTTGCGCTCTGTGCTCAGCAAAGTGTGTAGGTTTTGCCTATCTATTTTAGCTCAGCGTGCCGCGAGAGGGCGGGACCGCCGCATTTTGCTCTACCCGGCCGCTGCTCATCGCGTGCAACGGCGCTTCTCCCAACGCCGCTTCGGCCTTCTCATGACGTTAGCGCACGATAACATCAAAGATTACCCGCTACCCATCAAGTTGTCCGCGTCCAGACTACATCTAGGCCAGAGTACTTTCCAGTAGCTGCTCAGGATCGCTTAATGTGGGGCAGAAAAGCCGTCCGTTACGGCTCATTGCATTGCTTTCTACAACAGGTCAGCCGAAGCGCATCGTAGTTTGCGCGCGCTTGCGTCGGCTGCTCGCCGGCAGTCAACCACGAGCGTGAACGGTCTGCCGCAAGCTGGTAGCATGGAATAAGCCTCCGTTAAAACTTATTTTGATTGTCTCTTCCGAATTTTATAAAAAATCACGAAACCGCTCATTTTGTTTCCAGCCAAAGAAGCAAGGTCACCATTGGAGCTACGTCATTTAGTGGCTCTAGTAATTATGGCCACTTGAAGACGAAACTTCCCTATAGTCTCGACGTCTTTTTTGGAATAGTACCTTTTCCATGTCTTGCCCTGACAACAGTTAGCTTTACCAAACGCCACCAAGAAGCGACATTTCTGCAAAAGGCGAAATAGCTTTAATTGAAAGAATTATTGAGTCAATTAACTGACGAAGTTAAACCAGCTTACATGTCAATAAGCATAATGTTCTTTTCAGCAATTTATTGGTTTTCACAGTGCACACTTTACGGCAGACACAAAGTAGAAAAATATATGCAACGTTTTTTTTTTAAATTTACAATCAACTCCACACCTTTTTTGCTTGAGGTGAATATTGCTACAATATACCAAAGCATGTTAAGAGAAACAAAGTAAGTAATGAATAGATACATGCAAGCATTTTTATTTACAAATCAACTCCACATCTTTTTTGCTTACGGTGAATATGGCTACAAAATACGAAATCACGTTGACAGAAAAAAGTAATGAATGGATACATGTATGCAAGGTTTTTTTTTTTTTCATTTACAACAAACTCTACAACTTTGCCAGTGTGCTTACAGCAGCTTAGCGCGTTTGCGCGCCGACTTGACCTGCACATTCAAGGCACGCTCTCGCTGAAGGAATCTGGAATAGAAATGCATGCGCGTCACCAAAAAAAAAAAAAAAGCTCCTTATCCGGTGAAAGCTCCTTATCCGCACGCGGGATGGCCTTATTCCAAAGCGAGCGAAGCGTCGCATCTTTGGGAGCCGAGAAGAAGTGCCTGTCCGTGTTGTTCTTGTTGCTGCTGTAGCCACTGGCACACCCGGGAACGATGCAGGTCGGCATTGTCGGCCTCAGCCTCACATGCAGAGGCCCACAGCAATGAAATACAGTCGCTGGAAAATCACTAAATGTGCCACTCGAACGGCATCGCTCATTCAGCACTTCTGAAAACGACCGCGTGAACAAGAAACGCCGGAGACCGGGGCACCGAATGCGCCGGCTACTGCGGCGCATAAGCGAAACCGCCTGCGAGCGCCCCGGCAACCGAGCCGGTTGCGACTGCAGCGCCACAGAGAGAAAGATCGGTGGCGGTTCCGGGCAGCGCCGGCCAGTTTTACAACTGAAAATAATCTAGTAACGTTGAGTTCCTCCGTGTACCAGTCTGTGTTAGGATCATAGTTTCGTATTATTGTATGAAGCTCTATTGTTATTATCGTACGCATAGTATATTAAATACGCATACAGAGTTTGTATATTAACTCTATAGAATAAAGCTTTCCTTTCTCCAGCTTCGTCACGAGTCGCGTGGCTTTGTTGACTCCGATAAGCGCGGGTATTTTCACTGTTGTAAGTTGTAGAGTGGTAGGTGTTCTCTGGTAGTAGTGTGGTAACGCTTAGTTCAGCATGGCTTAAGACCAAACTCCATTGTTTGCGAAATGAACACGAGCACATCTGGACAGATTTCCCAGCTGACTTGTAACGTTATTCGGAGAGACGTCCGTGTACCTGTTGGCCATATCGTGATTGCTGAAAGATGGGCCGGCAGCGAGCTGCACACCGCCTTGAAGGGTAAGCGTTTGCCACCATTCTTGTCATTAAGAGTATGTTAACTCATGTTAACAATGTTAGCACATTTATGAACAAGCTCTGGACATTACCTTCGGACGAACAAAACGTTAACAACAACAACAAAAAAGACATTCTCGCGTACCGTGACTTGATTCAAAGCGAAGCAACTTTATCTCGTGTAGTGCTTCCTTCTATGCATTTCATCGTTCTCAAGCTATGCCGATATTCCAACCAGGTGAAAAGAAATATAGAAAGGTCACGCGGCGACGTCAGGAAAATTGAGGCGAAGTGTAATGTTTGTAGATGCATATGTTGATGAGAGGTCTATGCACAGATAAATATGATAAATTTAAGGATTCGGTGCTCTTTACGTCACCATGGCACATTCTGAATGATCGCCCAAGAACAAGTACGTACGCAATGGGTACTCAGAAAGTGACAAACTTGACAGAATGAAAGAGGCCGTTGAATGTTTTACACTATATTATTAAAAAGTGCACATACTTGAGAGATAATCATCAGCTGGCATACGTATGGGCTTGATTGACTATTTGTTTGACTACACTCTACGTAGCAGCACTCAATGGTGCCACATATGTAAGCCGGAGCACCAAGTGACATATCTGTCCAAAAATTATGTAAGGCAATGTAGATAATATATTTGAAAATTCTGAAGCTCAAGAAAGTTATTGAATGTTACAAGGTATAACCATGTGATCATTTATTAGAGATCTGTGTGTTTTGAGGATTTTTTATAAGAAGACCTTACATTTGCAGATTTCATGTAACAATTTAATGCTTTTTCACATAAAGTACTGGTGTGCTCATTTGGACTAATTTGTGGGTAAATTACAAACTACATAAGCCAGTTTCACGTGTCGGTATCTCATATTGACAGCAAAGCACGAAAAAATGGCTATTCTATTGGGCAAGATATCTATTGGCCTACCAACCAATGTAGAACTGCAGTGGCATAAAAAAGAAAGGTTTGCTTCAAAAAAAACAACAACAACAACAACAAAAAACATTGCTCTAATGATACCATGATACATCTATAAACAGTTCAAAGGTCAGTTTACGCAGTTTTCCCTTACAACCAATATTTTCCACAGTCCCACAGGTTGTGAGGACATTTATTGGTCTCTGTACAACTGCTGGTACACCAGCTGCAGTGCATCGTCATTATCAGCCCTTTTTAATATCGACTGCTAGGTGAAAGCCTCTATTCAGCCTGTCTTGCATAAATTTATTCCAATTAATGCCTGCAAATCTCTTAATTTAATCACTGAGCCTAATCTTCTGTCGTCCTTGACAGCATATCCCATTGAAATAGATATGCACATATAGATACTATAGTGGCTACTTGCCAAGCATGAATTCTTGTCCTCTCATCAAGCCACTGAGTGCTGCTGCAGCGCAAGACCACTAAATGTTGGCGTCATTTTCTGCTAGCATGTGAGCACACTCTACCCACTATAGAGGTAGATCATTGTAGGTCCTGTAGCAACTGATGATGTTGTACAGTGAACTGTTTAGTGGAGTTTCCAATTCACTTGCATGAAATTGATACTGCTTATTTGAAAATAGCCAAAACATTTCTTCTTTTTGTACACAATGCCTTTTCATGATGATAACTATTCAAGTGTTGCTTGTTTGCCTAATTCTTGCATCATTTAGGATGAAGCAAAAGAGATTCAGGCTAGCATGTAAAAGCCCACTAGCACAAAAGTGCTTTTCTTTTTTCTCAAGTGCATAGCTAAGAGGCTCAGCTTGTCACTCATCCCTACATTTCATGCGGCGTGTGCATGTTTACAATCAAGTGCTCACATTGCAGGCCTGAAACAATGCAAGCGATGCTCACAACTGGGTTAAAATAAACAAATAAGGTCTAAAATAATGTATTCAACCAAAATAACTTATAAGTAATCACTGTAATTCATTCAAAATAGCTAAACACATTTCAGAAGTATGCAGCTGACTTTGGCGCTACTCAGGAGAGGGTGCCATCGCCTTGCTAGTCAGGATATTGCTGTTCCCACCGGCTCCGCTATGGCGATACATCTGAAGGGGGAAACAACTCGACAGGACTTGCTCCAGATGGCATTTATCTCAACTGTCATAACAAACAGCAAGTCGATGAAGTGTTGCAAAAAGTAGCATACTGAGTTTTGAATCTCCCTAACAAGATTCTACTTGTGCCAAGGAAACCCTTCATGATTATCTCAAACATGGGCATCATCGACAATTTGGTAAATGCTGTAGTAGGAAATCTACGAATGGGAATCACTGGGTGCCTGTTCTTCGTGCTTCCTCAATTTTACGTAAGAGGAGTTGCATTTTGCTCAGAATTTAGAACTACATCAATTATTACACAAGAACGACATTTCCAATCATGACAGTGTACATGCACATGCATGTGTTTGTAATCACCATTGTTATAATGCGCTCTAGCGATCTGGTTGAGAGTATATGAGAAAAACGATCTTTTTTGGTTGAGTTAACACTAGCTGATCGATACATATTAGCACAAATTAAAGCAGACGACCACACACACAAAAAAAGACAAAGACATGCGCTACTCACATTTGATTATTAGTAGGGATGTGCGAATATTGGAAATTTCAAATATTTTTCTAATAATGTTTGCTATTCGATTCTATTCACCTTGGAATTTTACTATTCAAAGTATTTGAACTTCTCAAAGACAAATACAGTCAACGTTTGATTGAAAGTGGCGATTTCAGATATTCAATCTGAAAGTCAGCACTATTCTTGAGATTAGATGTTTCACTCTTAGCAATGGACAGGGGTGGTGCCACCGTGGGGTATGGCGGGGGGGCTGGAGCCCCCCTGACACCGAAAAGAACTGACTTGTCATGGGCACCTCTCCAGTAAAAAAAATTCTGGCTCCACCGCTGGCAGTGCAGTGGAAGCTATTTTCAAAAAAAAGATTTCTTTAGAATTGGTACACAAAGACGAGCCCCACCGCATTGGTCTAGTGGCTAAGGTACTTGACTGCTGACCCGCAGTTCGCGAGATCGAGTCCTGGCTGTGGCGGCTGCATTTTCGATAGAGGCAAAAATGCTGTAGGCCCGTGTGCTCATATTTGGGTGCACGTTAAAGAATCCCAGGTTGTCGAAATTTCCGGAGTCCTTCACTACGGTGTCTCTCATAATCATATGGTGGTTTTGGTACGCTAAACCCCACATATCAATTAATTGAGGAAGACTAGACATATTTTGCTAAATATATGTACTATGTGAATTTTTTAAAAATGCCCTACCAGTATGCTTAAATTAAGGCCACTGTGTAATGCTAGTAGATTTTGGAGCGTAGTGATTCGTGGGCAAAAGCAACTCTAATCCAAACGCTGCTCTTGATTTATATCGGCTCTTGGCCAACAACATGCTGTCTGTTGTTTGATGTTGAACAGTAGGCACAGGAAGTTCTGAAGAAAGTTAACACAGGCCTCTGTATAAAAAGAGGGTGCCTGAGAACATGGCGACATTGTGCTTCATTTGTAAACTCTTCTTGCTGTGCACAGCTGCAAGAAGTGGGTGAGCTTTCATAACAGTGTCGGCTTTCTGCAGGATGTATTTTTTCACATAGCCTCAAAGATGGCTCATGACTCCTTCAAAGTTTTCATCCAATTCTGCAAATTTCCAAAGAATGGTTGCATGCTTAGTTGTCCATGTGTGGTGGCACATATACGGAACCTCATGTTGTCTAGTCTATTTCAGTGCATATTTAATGGCAAGACCTTGTGCTCAGCAAGACAACACATACTGAGTGTAAGAAACAGGGAAAAAAAGCTTCTTTTTTTTTTTCACTGATATAAAGTACTTCAGACTGTATTCTTGGCCTGATTGGCGTAGTTCTTGTTTGCTAGCAAACATATTTACTGCTAGAGAACTGAATGTCATTCCACTGGTGGCAAATATTTCCTTCCAACAGCATGATATTCTTACGTAAAATAGTCTGGGAGGCTTCAACCCATGAAATGGCCTCACTGAGCGCCTAAACCGCATGCTCACGCACATGCTCTCGATATGTCTCATGTGACCACCATGACTGGGATCTAGCGCTATGTCGCGTGACATCCGCCTATAATTCATCTCGTCATGACTCCGCATGTTATTCACCTTTTTATATGCTCTATGGCTGCGATTTGGCCTTTCCAGTGGACATCCTACTATCGATAACTACACCTCTGCCAAGCGAATACGCACGTAATGCTATCGCTTGTGCCGATCATGCACGTCAGATTTGCCGCTCTAGGCTGTTGGCTTCACAAGCAATCCAGGAGGCTCTCTACAACGGCAGACATGGCGACATTTGCTTCTGTAGTGTCCAGTTCGTCGTGTTGGATTGTCGAAGAAGCTGTTATCTTGTTACAAGGAACCTTACGGTATTATATGACAGGTAACGGACATTAGCTATGGGATCATTCTAGTCTCTTGAGAGTAACCTGTCTGCGAACACCCCCAGTGACGTAGCTTACGTCAGTAGGTTAAAATTGTACCACCCTTCTTCTGAAGACCTTGTATAAAGTGCACCGAGATGGCGCTTTTACAGCTGGGGTGTAATGTAGCTAACACATCAAGGTTGAGAAATTCTGCACACTAAAGCTGACAAAGAGGACTGGCTTGCCCGCTGTGCATGCTGTGCTCTGTATTGATCAGTGTGAACTACACTCGCAAATAGTCACATCTCGTCTCATTTCATGCAACAATATTCTCAAAACAATAGCGCTAAAACACTTGGTTTTTCTTGACATGGGGCATCACCACTGCTGCATCAGCAATAGCTATCAACAATACACAGAATATTATTCCTAAGCAATGATAACTACTTTGTTTAAAGTGAAATTGCTATTAAGGTATTTGCTTTCTTTGGCTTTTTAATTCATTTTGTGGTTCTTGATTGACCATACTTCGATATCCACTATTGATTCAGAAGTGCTGATGCAAATGGTACATTACTGAAAACTATCTAGCTCA